AGAGGATTAAGAAAAATACACAAACTATGACTATCGGGTTCAATGTATTATGAAGTGAACTCATCTGACTCCTATTTCTAGATCAGTCTCTGATCCCCAGAACTACCTGGAGTGCCCACTCCGAAGCACCTCTCTCTCTCCTCCCTAAAGAAAACTCTGTCTTGATTATGTATTTACTTACTTACTTTTAATGTGTATTTTAAATTTTATTTCTTTTATTTTCTTTTATGTGTATGAGCGTTTTGCCTGCATGTAAGTGCACACAGGCACACAATACCCACAGAGGCCAGGAGAGGGCATCAGGTCCATTGGAACTGGAGTACAGACAGTCATTAGCTGCCATGTGGGAGCTGAGAATTGAACCCCAGTCCTCTGCAAGAGCAGCCAGCGCTCTTAACGCTGAGCCATCTCTCCAGTCATAGTGGTAGAATTTTCTATTATTTTGTTCCTAGCTTCTTCTGTTACTGAAGTGTGTGTGAGATCCACCCACACAGTTAAGTGAACAGAAGGTCCTCCATCTCATGATACACAGTATTCTGTCACATGGATATATGATATGTATTCATTCAACTGTTGATAAATGCTTGAATTATTCCCAGTTTGGAGCAATTCAGTGCATCTGTAAATATTCTTTTGATAGATTTGATTCATATGTTTACTTTTTCTGTTAGGGCAAGTGTATGCTTATGTTCAACTTCAGGAAGTAATGCCAAGCAGTATTCTAAAGTACTTACACCAATTTTCACATCCACCAGATGCATCTGACTTCTGGATGTCCACCTACAGCTGGCTCTGTCAGTAACAAATCACCTCAAAGGTCAGCAGCATGGAACAGCTATCGTTTATTTTCCACAGTTCTGAGTAGCTAGCTTCAGCTGGGTAGTTCTTCCACTCGTGGACTGGAGTTAGGCATGTGATTGCATTCGCCTGGGAGTCTAGTTGGACTGGAAATCTCCAAGACAACTTCATTCATATATCTAATGCATTCATGGGATGGCTGAGACAGCTGGGAAACAGTTCACCCCATCTCTCCAGGTGGTCTCTCATTGAATATTCTAGCCCAAGCTTATTCACATAGCAGCTGGATTCCCAGAGTACAGAAATAGAAGCTGCAAGTCTTCTTAAGGCCAGACCCAGAAGCCATGTATCATCATATTCATGAAGTCCTGTTAGCTAAACCTATTTGCTAATGCAAATTGAGGGGGGGGAGAGAGAATAGAAGCCACTGACTAATGGGGGACTTCATATGTGAGTATAGGGATGGCAGTAATGGTTCCTGGCCATACAAGCAGACAATATACTACCTTTCTGCCTCTGACCATAACAATTCATGTGTCTTTAGTGTACAAACACATTAATTTTATCCCAAGACACTTTTTATTGTTGTTTGTTTGAGGAAGGGTCTTACTTTGTAGCCCAAGGTGACCTTGAACTCATGATGCTGCTGAGTACTGGAATTATAGGTATGCACCACCATGTATGGACCAAGATTCGAGTCTCATCCAGCTGGGAAATCAGGCTTGGAGACCTGTCTCTTGCGATTCTCATTAATTCTAACTGCAAATGAGGCTCCTTATTCACAGTTCCTCTTGATTTGGAACCCTGTGACCTTTGAAAAGACAGGATATCTGTCTCCCCAGACACCTATCTCAAAATGGTGACTTAGAGATATTTTACTTCAAACACTCTTGGTCTTTTTATTTTAAGACATTCTCGTTTTCACCAGAACAACCCTCCTGACAAATGTGGTGACTTTGTATATACTCCACTGTAAGCCATTAAGTTAGACAAAAGCCAAGTCTCCAAATCTCTACCAGACAGGTTCTTCTTGGTCTTGGGCTGTGGATCAGGTGCTACGGGAAAGGTGCTAAGGTTTTTAGGAACGCTTTTATTTGCTAAAAGGGAGGGTCTATGCAATATCACCTTAATATTTCAAAGACTTACCAAGGAGTCTCAGAGCCATATCCTTTGTTTGATCTTGTCCCAAGGCTTTTTGTTACTTCAGACACTATTGCCTGGTGGAAATTGTACTAACTATTCTTTATTTTCACTTAATTTTGCCCAGAAACTAAACAGATCTTTCATATTGGCTCATGTCTTACTGGACTTACCCATATGTAGCCAAAGAAGTCAGTCATCAGTTTCTATATTCTGTTTAGAACTTCTCTAGTCAGTTCTATATGTTCACTGGTACATTTTCTATCATCCATAGTAACGTGGGCAACACTGTCACCCAACTCGAACTGTTCGATGAGGTAGATCACCTTCTTCTAATACTGTCCTGGCAACTCACCTGCTCATCTAGACCCCATGAAACAGTTTCCTCATCACACTGGCCCCAGGGTCAATGCCATGTGTTTGGTATTTGGGGCGCAGAATGCAGAAACAATAGGAGAGAAAGCAGGAGACCATGCAAGACCTCAGACAAGAATGAGTTTATTGAAGCACTTCAGGGAGGGACAGCAGCCTTCCTGCATGCTGGAATCCACTGCTGGCCCATAGGAGGGGCTCTTGGGGCTTATATAGCTATGGCTGGCTGACTATGTGCAGATCAGGGGCACTCTTAAGAAGTTTATGGCCCCCTTATGGCCCCCTTCTTCCTGGCACCATTTATTCTGGTTTATCTTGAGAGTCAGAGGGTTTATGATCTCTTCTTGGGACCATTTGCCCAAGAAGACAGGCTGTCTTGGGAAACAGGCTGTCTCAACAAACAAACAGTCCTCTCAGGAGGGAGGAAGTGGCTGATTGATAATGCCAGATTTCTGCAACTGGGGCATTCTATCATCATGTTTTAAATTATGTTACACAATTTAAATGTATTCCCAGATACACTGGTTTCTGTTGTTGCTAAATAACAAACTCCCTGAAAGAGTAGTGGCTCAAAATAAAGGTCATGTATTCTCTTGATCCCGATCACCATCTGGGCAGTTGCTCTACTCCATACATTGTTGACGGGGGCCATCCTTTCCCCATTCTCCGCATGCTACTTTTGTCATAAATCAAGTGCCCATATATACGTGGCTGTTTCTGGACTCACTGATTTCCATTATTCTACCTATTCTTGGGCCAAAATCTCATGTGCTTATTAATACCAGCTTTATAATAAACAAGTCCTGATCAAGTGGAGGAAGTACTCCCTCTGTTCTTTCTCAAATTGTCTTCCGAACTTCCATATGCATTCTCTAATTGGTTTTTCAACACCTTTTGGATTTGATTGAGATTATACTGAGTAATAGAGTAATTCAAGAGAACCAGCATCTACCCAGATACATACTCAGATTTCTTACAAATTCTCTTCATAAAAATTTAGTACTCCGTGGAATGTTTGTCCCTCCTTTATTTGAATTAGACTTAGTGAATTGGAATTAAATGTTATCTAGAAATGGTACATTGTTGTTTACTAAATGTTTGTCAGTGTACAGAAATAGAATTGCTTTTTGCAGGTAAATCTTACGTGCACTAACTTTGCTAAACATTAGACTTGTTGATTTTGCTGTTGATTCTTTAATATATTCTATTTATCAATAAGAATGATTTTATTTGTTCCTTTAACATTATTATACATTCTATTCTATGTTATTGGTTTATCACACTGCAAAGTATACCCAGAATTATGTTGAATAATGATGCTAATAATAATCAGAGGAAAGGGTCAACATTTCATAGTTCAGTTGAATGCTTGCTACAGGATTTTATATCCACTGCTGTTTGGATCAGGAAATTTCCCTATTCCTCCATTACTAAGACTTCTTGTCATGAATGTGTGTTGAAGCTTATCAAGTACACTTTCCTAGCTACTGAAATAACTATATAATTTTTCTTTGTTTAGTTTATAAGTTCATTGATTTTGACCTACTGTAATATATGTCATAATGTAGTACATCAGACATAATGTCAAATGTCAAATTTACATTTCAAGACTAAATCTGCAGCTGGGGGTGTAGCTTAGTCAGTAGAGTGCTTGCTTAGCCTGTACCAAGTCCTGGGTTCAATGCCCAGCACCACACAGACCAGGGGTAGTAGCACATTCCAAATTATGTGTTTGCAGCATGAAATTGTTACTGGGGACCTGAAAAGATGGAAGTCCATCTTCCATATTGTGCAAAAGAAAAGAAATAAATAAAATGGTAGTCTAGAATAAAGGACATTTTATATAACCAAGGACTTTATACTTCATACAAAGAGATAGAAAATGAATGTTATTAAGGCAAAATCACCACTACTGGCTACATTTGCAAAGATGCCAGGGTGGAGTTCAGGGGACAACTATCAGGAGTTGCGTCTCAGCTCCTAGCTTGCTAGGCAGTCTCCCTTGTTTCTGCTGCTCTACTCTGTGCTCTAGGCTAGCTGGCACATCAGTTTCTGTCTGATTCTCCTGTCTCTGCTTCCTAATTAGCTGAAGGAGTGATGGGATTACAGATATGTGCCACCACATCTGGCTTTTTACATGGATTCAGGAGATGGAATTCAGGCTATCAGGCTTATACAAGCACTTTTACCCACTGAACCATGTCCTTGGCACTATACCTAGATTCTTAACCCCCAGAAACGTTCAGAATAAAAAAATAGTTTGTTTTAAGCTGTTAAATTTTGGAGTAATTTGTTATGCAGCAATAATAACTAATGCATGTCAACTTCTAAATTATCAATAGTGCTTCCTAAAACATTTTATTAGCTTTCTACTTTTCTAGCAAAGTAAAAGCAACTCTTGTTTAGATTGAGATATGGATACAGGTATATAAAAACAGAATAAATACAATGATTTGAAGTTCATGTGTATTTTTCCATGGTCATATATATATATATATATGTGTGTGTGTATATGTGTATACATATACATACCTGAATTGTAAGTCTACATGTGGTATAATCTATATATTATGTATAAATTACTGTAATTCCTATTGGGACAAAAGTAATATAGTGGGTGTTTCTAAGTAAGTATACATTTGTTAAATTGAACCTGCAGCGCCTGTAGTGGAAGAAAGTAACTTGCTGAGATGCCAGTTGGCAACTTTTCTCAGAAAACTCTGGAAATGGAGAGCTTTCACACGAAGTTCAGTGCCTGGACACCTTTTAACAATAAGTCTTTAAATAAACAGGTAAGTTACATAATCTACAATAAAAACAAGTTTAGTTGGTAAAGTTAAATTTACTGTGATATATTGAATGTTACATTATCATGTCTTTAAAGAAAAATAATTTCATTTTTGAGTCCATTTAAAAAAGTAATAAACCTGGCTTTGTCCCAAGACAGTCTCATCTCACCTCAGACTCTGGCTGCTACCCAGGGTAGTGCTACATCTGCCTCCCCTCTCACGCTGCACCTCCAGGACACATGTGAGCTTAGGTGGTGGAGGAGGGAAATAACGGAGGTGCTTTGGAGAGGTGACAGGGGCTTCTTGATGAAGGTTTCTGTGGGTTTAATTCACTCTTCTGTCCTGTGCCTACTGTGTGATCCCATGTGGCCTGCAGATGCCTATCCCTTTGAAAGGTAATTCAGACAGACTTCTTGAATGGTAGAGCAGTCCCACCAGGTTTTAATGGAGAAAGCAAAGTGGACCCTCAGAGCTCATGTGGGTTCAGCTTCTTTCATGGGAAGGAGAGAGAGGGAGTTGGGGCTAAATCCGGATCTATGGTAAAGATAGTGAATTTGTGTGTGTTTGAATAAGCAGAGCTGGGTTTTGGAGACATTGGTTCATGATTTATGGCCTCCCTAGAGACATAGCTAACAATGGCACTGTGCAACAATTATTGATTTTCAGTTGTATGGGCATCATGAAGACCCAGGACTATGAGCAAAGAAAAGCATATTTAAGTCAAATGATTTTGTTTCCACAATTCAGTGAGTGTGGCCTGTAGACAAAATGAAATGTTCAGATTCTTGCCCTAGGCCACATTAGCCTAGGTGAACACAAGAGCCTGGAATTGTCATTGCCCTTTGTTTACCAGAGGCCCTCCTTGGCCCCTCCATAATTAAATACCCTCTGTTTTTTCCCAATGGCCCACCCAACAAGCCCTGGCTTGCCTATGTCCCTGGGTAAAGACACTTTAAGCTGAAAGGAGAGACCCCTATGGCATATGTGAAAGTGCTTTGTGAACTGTAATGTGCTGTGTAAATATTAGCTGTGAGGTTGTTAGTTGATGGTCTGAAGACTGCTTAGCAACTAAGAACATATGGAAATGTACAGCAAAATCTCATTTTCTTCCCTTCCAGCTCTTTCAGGAAAGAGTGGCTCTCATAAGTCATTGGTTTGACCTCTGGACCAACAAGCAACGGCAAGAATTCTTATTCACGATTTTTTTACGATGCTCTAAATCACAATTAAGGTAAAAACAGCATAATGATGTAATTGTTGATTCTTAAAGAAACCAAAATGTGGTAGAATGTTTATATAATCCTGAAGGATTTTTTTCTTTTTCTTCTATAAAAAATGAGGCAATTGTTATTTTAAGACTTACGAACAGATTTTTCTAGTGCCTGCTTCGTCTTTGAGGCTGAAACAGTGGTTGGGGGACAGGGGGTTGGGGGGTTTACACACCTTCCTGCCATCACGAGCCTGTTTCATTTTGGAAAAAAAAACTTGTCAGTGGCTTCGGTCAGTGCATTTTTAACATTCTCTTGGTTTATTAACTTCTCCTTGGAGCTATTGAACAGACAATATATTCCAGATGGATTTCTGGTACCGATGTAGACATTTCATAAATGATTGTTAAATAATAGATGGATCTGAACAATATAAAGGAAGTGACAACACTATAGTATATTTATGCCTGTACAAGACACAGAGACATTAGGCCAGGATTGCCAATGAATTCCATTCTTATTCTTCCCTTTTCCCCTCTTCTAAAATATTCTAGCGTTGGCAGTGTGACATTTGTTAGAACCCCACCAGGGCAGCAAGGGTTCTGAGCAGGAATTGATACTCTAGGAGTCATTAACTTGTTCTAATTGGGAAGGCCACAGTGATTCTCAGAGTAAGTATCTTAGTATCTTAGCAGAGTAAGTATCAGACTGCAGATCCAACCAGAGCAACCAGTGGCATATTGAACTGCCAGCTAAATGTTAGAAGCAGACTCTCATGAATGAAATTAGAGTTACTCAAGATGTGTGGCTGACCAGCATATTCTAGAGAGCCCCTCAGAGTATCTGGACCTCACTGAAGAACAGAGCTGGACCAATAGCAGTTCCTGAAGGATGGTTTCTCAGGATTCATCCCTAAAGAAGTGACTTTAAGTGGACTCAGGGGGATCTTTAGTAGCTAAAGCCAAAAATTGGGAGTGATAATAGAATGCTGCTTCTTTTTAAAAAAATTTAAAATTTATTATTTAAATATTTTATGTGTATGAGTGTATTGCCTGCATGTATGTAAGTGCACCCATGTCATGCAATGCCTGTGGAGGTCAGGAGAGGGCGTCAGATCCCCTGGAACTGGAGTTACAGATGATTGTTAGTTACCATGTGGGTGCTGGGAGCTGAACCCCCATCCTCTGTAGGAGCAGCCAGTGCTTTTAACCATTGAGCCATCTCTCCAGCTCCAGAATGCTATTTCTGAAGTGCTGTCCTTTGTCCATTAAGTGAGACCCTCATCTAGAGGTCAGAGAGCTGGGGTTTCACCAAGCCTGCAGAGTGGATGCTCGGAAGCAGCTGGTGCTCAGTTCCTACTGTTTGCTTTGTGAAACCCTAGGTACGTCATCAGTTGGGGTCAATTGCTTTCACTGTGACCTGCATGGTCATACTGAGAAGCTAACCTTCAGACTCCTTATGCAGCTATCAAAAAGCATCTGAGAGTTGGGCATGGTCAAATTGGGTTGTTATAGATTGCAACCTGCCTTCCGTTCTTCCCTTCCGTTCTTCCCTCCACCTTTTCCTGCCCTCCACTTGAGACCAGCCATTTCTTCTCTTCTCCATTTGCTGCTGCTATGGGCACAGAGTGGATTGTTAACTGAGGCTTCCTCATGGACTTCTAGGGAAGGAGACAGCTTCCTGGCTGTGTTGAATGAAGTGGCAGACAGTGGCTCTTCAGTCAGGGTCTGAAAATCAGGAAGAAGGTGAATTTCATAATAGTCACTTGCTATGGTTTCTTTTACCCCACTTTGCAGCTTTCCAGAAAAAAAAAATGGATCAAACTTCATATCCATAATCACTTTGTGCATTGTGTTCACCTCATGAATCATAAACCAGGCAATTTCATTTGTAACCACTGGAGGTCATGAGAGTTCTTGTGGTATATTTTGAGGAGGTGATCATAGGTCTGACATTTTGTCCCTGAAAATTGCTCCCTTTGGTACCTGGATTCTTCTTTCTCAGGGATAAGAATGTGGAACCAACCTGTTGAGTAGAGTTTCTTTGCTTTGTTTAACAAAGCCTGTGTTCCCATTGGCATGAGTCATAGTTCTATGTAGCTGTTAACATGCTCTGGGCTGTTGCTTTCATAGTTGTGAGTTTTGGGTTCTAGATTTGGCCTCTGGGCTCATCTTTAATTTATAGGGATGGTTTTTATTGTTGAACATCAATCTGTCTGTTCTCCAAAATCTGGGTTAAATCCTTTTTACACTTTCTCCCCATCTCAGACTTCCATCCCTGGGTGAGTTTAGCTGGCTCTCAGCTGTTTCTAATGGTTCAAAGTGGATTGCTAGCCATAATCCAGTTAGAACGGTGCTCAGTTTCAGGTAGCTGTAGAAGCTAAACTTTCTATTTCTCCAAATCTGGACTTCTCATACAAATGGAATTGGATAATAGGTGATCTTTTGTGACTGGCTTCGTTCATGTATTATAATGTCAAGGTTTATCCATTTTGCAGAGTATTTTAGCACTCTTCTTTTTGTCAAATAATATTCCATTGTGTGGATATGACACATTTTATCAGTTCCTTAGTTGATAGACATGTGGATTGTTTCCCATTTTGACTATTGTAGATAATGCTGCCTCCCATGGACATCTGGGTCCAAATTTTTATAAATGGCTACTTTTACTTTTTCTCTTTGTTTTTATCTATTTTTCTTTAAAATTCAATTTTAGATGAATTTCTAGGTTCTGTGTATTTATCACATTTTATTTATTTATTTATTTGTATAGGCTTGGTCATGCACATGACACAGTGGCGGTCAGAGGTCAGAGGACAACTTGTCAGTGTCTGTCTCTCCTCCCACCATATGGGTCCTAGAGATTGAACTCAGGTTTTCAGGTTTGACACCAAGTACCTTTACATACTGAGTCATTTCTCCTGCCTGTTTATTTCTCTTAAGTATATATTTCAGAGGGCTCAGTGATCAAGTGCTTACCTAGCATGTCTAAGGCTCTGGCTTCAATCCTCAGCACCAGGAAAAAAAAAATGCTATGAAGTTAAGTATATACTCAGGACTTAAATAGCTGAGTCTAACAGTAACAGTATCATCGACTTTAAATTATCCAGTGTTTCTTTTAATCCTGTCTCCCCCCTCATAATTGTAAATAAACTTAATAAAGAAGAGAAATAAGCATTATTTGAATCCCTAACCCTTTATGTATACATGCCTCTGTATTTGTAGAACATTTCTTTTTCTCATGACAGAGGCCATTGTTTGAAATGGTTTATTTTATAATTTCCAGATAACTTTGTTTTAATCCAGATAGTTACATTTATAAACTCGGCATTTCAATATCATAAGATATGTTGTCACAGTTTCTTTGAAACCTTCTCCCTAATCTCCATGAGATATATTTAAACATCTAAAACTTAATATTCTGGATTGTTAAGTTTTTGGATGATCTTAAATGGAATTTTGTGATAGCTAAGACATATTTTACAAGTTCAGCTTCTCAGATTCTCCTTCTGGCAAATCCTCTTCTTATTGCAAATGTCCCCTCTGCTAGGAGCCCTCTCTGCTCATTGGTCCTGAATTTCCCCACATTTTCTCCAGGACATTACACTCCTGTGTCATGGTTCCTACTGGTGGCTTCATTCTCCCACCTGACTAAACTGACCTTTGAAGGAAACTGCTGTTTGTGACTGTCACACTTGGAGAAACCTCTGAGGACTTTGAATCTCTCTCCTTGTCCCACTGGTGGAACCGGTTTTAAATTGCTTCTGTCTGGCTGCCAGCATTTGCCTTCCTACAAAGGCCTTTCATTTCCAGCTAGAGCTGTTTAAACCTGTAGCTTACCTGGGTGGGTGGGGCAACATTCATGCAATTGCATTCCCGAGGCGAGAGAGAGAGAGAGAGAGAGAGAGAGAGAGAGAGAAAGGAGGAGGGGGAGGAGGAAGAGGAGGAAGAGGAAGAGGAGGAAGAGGAAGAGGAGGAAGAGGAAGAGGAGGAGAAAAAAGAGAGGGAAGGAGAGGGGAGAGGAGAGTCAGGAACAGGAACAGCCCAGGGGAAATCAGCTTATGAGAGATCATCTCTCATCATTTGCCTCCATCAGAGCAGGCTGGACATGGGGATGGGCAGGAAAATGTGTATGCATCCCTGTATATGTAAGAGAGAACACCCCATGCCCACTCCAGTACATTCATCCATCCTTTCTATGGGACCTGCAAAAGTTCAGGTGAGGAAATTTCTCAGCTAGGGTCTGTTGAGAAAGGCAGAGAGAGACACACAGAGAGAGAGAAGCCCAGAAGCTATTATATTGAGGGAGGGCAGGGTAGTGGGCACACTAAGTAAGTTCATGGACTTGAACTTCTCAGTTCTCCTTTGTGAATGGTGCTTTCTGCCGTTTAAAGTTTCTTTAAGGCACTTAGAACCACTTCACATGATGATATTATATACAGTACCTTGTGTATCTAAACCACTTTTATACATTTAAGAAATAGCCTCGAGTAGTATCTCAGATGTACAAAGGAGTGTGGGACAGAGATCAGAAATGGGGAAGGAAGAAAGGCAGGAGAGTTCCTTTTTGCCATCTCCTCCCAGTCTCTGCCTGAGGTCACGTACTTGATTATCTGCCTGCCCATATCATTCTGTGTTCTTCATTTTTGTTCTGATGGAAACCTTGGCTTTTCCCAGGTAGTCAAGGCTTGAGGAGTCCTGGTTACCTCACACGTAAGAGCCTGAGGGCCAAGAGCGCTTGGGGACTGAATTCATCATGAGATTTATATCCCTGAGGGTATCTGGAGGAGGAGACATGAGGACAGTAACTATGCTAGGACATAATATGATTGTCTTCCAAGAGCTTCTGGAGTGTGTTCTTCAACCTTAAAGGAACTTTAAAGGGGACTAAGGAAAGAGTGCATGCTCTCTCCCACCCTGCTAGCCTAGGGTCTCTTTTGTATGAAGATGAATGTTTGATGCAGTTAGACTTTGGGAAACCATTTCAGGAGACAAGACTGAGGACCAGAGTCTGAGGATGGCTA